ATGTCTCTCTGCGTTTGCGTGTGTGTAGCCGTCGAGTCCTTCTGTAAAAAAATGACCGAGCTTTCGTTCTCCATGCCGCTGGCCCTCAAGTAATCCTCTTCCCGAACATGCTGCGTTTCTCGTGGCTCTACCAAAAGTTGGCGGCGTGCAGGCAGCATGTAGACCTCGCTGGTCTCAGCAACATGACTCGCGAATTCCCGGTTGTAGTGCAGAGTTCGCAACCAGTTCAGGCTTGATGACTTCCCGTTACAAGGACAACCCACTTGCGGAAGCCTCGGACTTCGTTTCTGACGGTCCTGCCCTGCATTCCTGTCGGGTGTCGCTGCAGGTAGTCGGCTTCGATCTTCGCAACGAGATCCGGCCATCAGGCCTGGTGCTTGAAAAGGGCGGAGGATGGCAAAGGTTTCTAAGCACGCCTGAAGACAGGCCTCAAACTTAAAGGAAAGGTAGATTTCGAGAACTCTGCGAACCTTCGGCGAGTGGCAAAGCAGTGCTTCGGGCAGTCATAGGCTTTGCCTGGCCTGGATGGCACACGAAGGATCCTCGGACCGATTGGCCCGGCCTTCAGTCACTTCAGTCACCTCCTTGTGTTTGAGCTCTTTTCTCAGTGGCCCACGTATGCCAACTTCTTCAGGGCAGCAGCTTCGGTGAGAGGTGCCCGCCGGGTTCTGGATGCCAACGTCGAGGCCTTGGTTCATAGCCGGTCGTGCTGTGGTTTTCAGACGCCCGGCACCCAGGAAAATATGCTGATCATCATCTCTGGTGTGTATTTTGGTCTGTTCCTTTGCCAGGCAGGACTCCCAGGGCTTGCGACACTGATTCCCAGGGCTTTGCTCGACACAGCAGGTTCCTACATATCCTGTGCACACAGAGGCAATGGACAAATGCAATGCTTGTCCCATGACTGGTCTCGGCAGTTGCAGATAGGTTCCGTTTCTGCGCGGCCGCGTTGTTTACACAGCCCACGAGTGACTCGATACATGTACTTGTGAATCCTTCCACTCTTTGAAAAACTGGTCTTGTGGCCTCGTGTCCGCAGGTACAACTGGTTTAACTTCCATTTCCTGGCAAGGGAGATTATCCAGTGCATGCCTCAGAACGATGGAAGTGTGAGTTGTACTGACATTTCCTGAGCCTAGTCATCGTAGTTGCAAGCGTGGCAGGATCTACTGCTTAGTCCTTGCAGTCGTTTTTGTGGCGAGCTGGCCGGGTGCTTGGAATTTACCGTTTCCCCAATAAACAAGGCAGCAAAAGAGAGCAGTAGTCATACCAACATAACTGCACACAAGCACCGAGTCAGACGTCTCGCAGCCCTTGGGTTCTGGTCCCTAAGCCGAGGCTTCTCAGCGCCCTGGTTCGCCGCGGACGTGGGAGCCCAAGCGGCAAAAGGCAGCAGAGGTTTACGAGGGTCACGCGAAGATGTTGCAAATGCGTGCAGAAGTTGCGCTTGTCTAACTGCACATGACATGGTCAGGGGCTGTCCGGCAGTGCAGTTTGTCTGAGGTCGGAGCCCGGGCCCTGCAACACAGAGGATCCTACGGTACTTCTACTACATCGCTGGGTGCACGCGATGCCGCTGCCGCAGCATGCGTGCCGATGAACCGATGATAGCAGAATCTTGGGCGGGCGGTGGAGTTGCATTGTGATATAATCCTATCATGTGTCCACATCGTGTCGGGTTACCTAGGAGCAGTTGGATTTCTTTTGTGATCCTCAATTGCCAAGCCCAAGGACGGCAACAGTCGAAGATGCGGCTTGGAGTTCACAGTTGCGGCGCTTCTGACAGCATTGTGTGCTCTGTGCCTCAAAGTCGTGCCTTTATTTGTTCATACCTGCGCATTCGATGGCTTTATGGCGGCCACACTGTGTGCGGTGTTTGCACCAACTCTGGCGCTGGTAAGCCTAGTTCTGTGGATCAGAGCTGCGTTTTTGGCCTTCACGCAGCATCTGGAGCCAGCGGACTTGCGAACTCTGCGTCCGAGCAGGCCCACATTGCCTTTACCGGAGAACGAAGAGTCCGTCCCATCTGAGCCGTACCAGCGCAGCTGTACCACAGCCTGGCATGCAAAACAGTGCCGCTCACCGGGCTGCGTACTGCTGCTTGTGGCCTGCGTTGCATTTTCTGGCCTCTCGGCGATCTGGGTGGAGTTCGGTTCCTACGAGGCCTTCGAGCGAGAGCTGGACTTCAAGTGGGGCTTCCTTTTGTCCGGCTCTGCCGCCGCTCCTGTCTGGCTCGGGGAGTTCGGAACAAACACAGAGTCCCTGTGGTGGGAGCACATGCTGAGATACTTGCAGAAGCGTGATCTGGATTTTGCGTACTGGAGCGTCAATGGCGAGAAGTTCAACGGCAAGCCCGAGCTGCTTGACACAATAGATTCGAGCTTTTTCTGTGATGTTCGGTCCTCACCCCAGTGCTCCACCCTCAGCTCAGCTGCAGGTCTTTCGGGCTCTTCATGGAGAATTTCATAGACGTTCAGCAGCCGTGGAAGCTTCAGCAGCTGCAGGCCACCATGAAGATGCAGATTGGGCCAGAGCTAAGTAGCAGCTTGTCATGAGGTCTCTTTTTGTGTCCGTCCTAATTTGTAGATATGATGCGGGAATAGAGAGAGCTCGATGAAAACTTCGGCTTTCTGAGAGAGCAGAGCCTGACAAGATGCCACCAAAGAACAAACCACGGCCACTCTTCATAAGCTACAGCTACACGCTGGCCGCCGTGGCCACGCTCTTGGCCATCCTGACACGCCCTGCTCTTTGTACATACCTTCTCAGCATGGCGTCAGTAGCGGCTGATACGCCGTGGCGAGGAGCCCCGAGTTCCAGCTTTCTTAAGGGCCTCACGCTTGCTGCTTCTTCGGCATTGCTGCTTGTGACGGAAGTCTTGAAGGGCTGCTCGCAGCTTGTTCTGTGCTCGAAGCGATGTCGCTGAAGCCCTCTTGTTATGAGCTCTACTTCGTAGGCTTTCTCAAGGAGCAGCAGATCTTCCAGTGCCCAGGACGTTCCAAGCCCCGACAGCATGTGATGGTAACGTGCTTGAGCATAGTCTCACACCAGCTTTTGCAGCAAGAGCAACAATATCTAGACCCAGACACGCAGGGCTCCAATAGCTCCAC